GAGGGTTTTATTGGCCCCATAGAAACCAGTGAACCTAATTTTAAAACAGTATCTTCATGGATACGAGTAAGTTTAAAGAAAAAACAAACAAAGGTTAGGTAAATTGGCACTTTTTTATGTAGAATGTCAAATGTGGAGTTTCCCAGAAAATGGGAGAGGGAAAACTATTCTTGTTGGGTATTTAATGCAGTTTGAACTAAGACTTTGAGTGGAATTTCCAAGTTTGCAAATTATTCCCGTTTTCTATATACCAAAAGGCCCGGAATAGGTTTCAGGAAGATCGCTCTGGCTGTACAAATTATCAGGAGTGGTCAGAGGTAAGAAATGCGGTTTGGCGCCTTGCTTCTGGACGCAGAGAGCACCTGAGCCTTCCGACGCGCCCAGGAACCTGAGGCTGGAGGGCTTAGAACTGCCACAGCCCAACAAAGAACAACAGCAGGCAAGGGTCTATCCAAAGGCTCTATCTTGCTCTCCACGCCTCGGTCAGGTCCCACCTTCTCACCCTCGAACCCCACCTGGCTCAGAAACCGACCGCTCAGGAGGCAGGTGAGCTGAGGTCCTTACCGTACAGGAAATCATACGCTCGATTGGAGGAGACATTACCCCTGAGCTCCGACCTTATCCCACACCGAGTTTGAGACAGCTGTGGCTTGGCCTGCGGCTCCTCGATGGTCACTACGTGGCTCATGGTGCGGCGCTAAGCACTACCTGGTGAGGACTTGCCGCTGTCTGCACCGTAGCTATAGTAACCGCCGCCTGGCGCCGGGATAAAGGGCGGAGCGAATGTGAGGGAGGGCGGGGCGGAGACGGGAGCAGAGAAGGGGCGTGAGAAGGGAGAGGCGAGGCTACAAGAGAGAAGGGGCGGGTCAGATCTAAGGAGCGGGTCTAGAGAGTAAGGATTGAACCCGCGAGGGAAAGAAAATCAAGAGGAGAGTAGGGGAGAGATGGAGCAAGGCTCACGAGTGGAGGTGCGACAAGAGAGGTTGGAAAAGGAGCGGAGGGTAGAGACAGTGACAGCGGAGAGAAGATGAAAGGGGAGTAGACAGAAGTAATGGGCGGGCTGGAAATGAGGAACTGGGATGGGGAGCGGAAGGATTGGGAGTCAGCCTTGTTTTCTGCTAAATGCTGGGGACCTGTCCGGGAACTTTCAGCAGAAGACCGAGGGTCAACACTGGAGCCTGTGGTGAAAGCTGCTCCTCAGAAATCCAGCATTTCAGTCCATTACAATCATTATCAACGCCCATAGAACAGCAGTCAAGAAATCAAACGACATATTGTATTGGCAAATCTGCTGCAAACGACCACTTTAAAGTGTTGAAGAGTAAAGATGTCACTTTGAAGGTGTGCCAGACCCAAGCCATTGTCTTTTCAAGAGCCTCATATGCATGTGAAGCTGGACAAAGAGTAAGAAAGACCACGGAAGAATTGATGCATTTAAAATGTGATATTGAGGGAAAATATTGAATATATACCATGGACTGTCAAAAGAACTAACAAATCTGTCTTGGAAGAAGTACAGCCAGAGAATGCTCCTTAGAAGTATTGCCAGACTTGGCCCCTCCTACTTTGGTCATGTTATCCGGAGGGACCAGTCCTTGGAGATGAATATCATGCTTCGTAAAGTACAGAGTCAGTGAAAAAGGAGAAGACACTTGGTGAGATGGATTGATACAGTGGCAGCAATGATGGGCTCAAGCATAGCAAAACTTGAAAGGATGACACAGGACCAGGCATTGTTTTGTTCTGTTTACATAGGGTTGCTATGAGTCAAAACTGACTTGACAGCACCTAACAATGACAGTGCTCTTTCTGATGTCCAAATTGTCCCATCAGACTAGAAGGCATACCTTAGAGTTGGCTCCTTTGTCCTTTTGATGTGATCAGTAAACACCTAAATAAGATTCCTGGCCTACCACTCTTTCTGGACACACTCTTGATTTTAACTTACAGTCTCTAATCCCACAATGCTTGGGAATTATGCAAACTCATCATAGGCTTTGTCACCTGAAAAGCTTTGCTTATGATTCCAGTGCCTAGAATGCCTTTTCCTCTTTATGCTCCCAACTGCTAAGCAGAAGGCTGGCAGTTCAATCCTACCAGCCACTCCTTGGAAGGAAGGTTGGGCAATCTACTTCTGTAGTGATACCAACTTGGAAACCCAAGGAGGGTTCACTATGAGTTGGGTCCGACTCGACAGCACATAACAACAACAAAGTCTTTCAAAGCCCAGTTCTAATCTTGCTTCTTCTATGAAGTTTTTCCAAAATCCTCCAAGTAGAGTGAGCACTCATTCTTCCTTCCAGTGCTGTAGCAACTTTAATAGCATACCACCTTGCACTGATAATCATTTGCAACTCACACTGAGTTAATTGAGGGCAGAGGCCTTCTTCACATGGTCATTTTTGTATCTCTGAAGTACTTGGTACAGAAGAGGTTAGTAATAAATAATAAGTAAACAAAATTTCAGTGCTATAAAAAATAAGTCAAATGGCGTTCCGGCAAGATGGCAGACTAGGCAGAAGGACTGCACGGACCCTCTTCAACAAAGAAAAGGGAAACCAATTAACACAGACACAGAAGATAATCTTGGACCCCTGAGCCTTGAAGGGAAGGATACAGAA